AGGGAGGGAAAGAGGGAAGGAAATGAAGAACTAGTTTGGCAGAGTGGCAGAGCAATTGCCGTGATGACATCGGTGGCAGTACCATCCCGGTCGCTTGCGTCTGAGTCCACAGACTTTACATATACCCAGTTAGATGCTTGGAGAGAATATAATTAATACATGTGTACACAATCTAATCTGATGTGAATGATGTGAAGCTTTGGATGTCGTCTGCCTTCCAGATGTTTGATGGGAGGGAGGAGCAAACACAGTGATTGCAATATGCAGCACCCTCGCTCCTGCCTCACACGACGTAACAACCATCTGTCCGTGCCCATCAGGTAACAATCTGACCCTCTTCACATGTACAGCTACAACTCCTCTGCAAACACGACAGCATCGAGCCCACCAACTGACAAGCCATCGAAAACAACACGACCCGTCATGCCATCCTCCACCCTACCTTCTCAGCAGGATCTCTGCCACCAACTTGAGCAGACCCTTCTCAAGCTCGAGCAAGACCCCTCCCGTATCACCACGGAAGACGCCCGCCGTTTCTCCGAGAACTATGATGCCCACGACACCCGATCTGCCCGCATCATCTCGGCCGTTGAAGCATGCGCCGTTGCTAATCTCGAGGTCCACGATCAGAACCCCAGTTTCGGTCAAGAACTTCACACGTCGCTGCTCACTCTTGTCAAGGATTTGCAGGCGGCTGTTACCTGCAATCCAGGCGATGTCACTGATGAGGTTTTGAGGACTGCACAGAGCGTAGTCTCCAGTACGTTTCCCACCACTCTGCTTGGACTTGGACTGCGACGTCGATGATTGTAAACACTGACATGGTACATAGAAATGCAGAAAGCTGTTGGTAACACCAACGTAGCCCACCCAGAAGTCGAGGCCGAGCTTCAGCAGGAAATCATCAAGGTCGAGCGCAAGATCGAGCAAGGCACTATTACCAAGGCTGAAGCAGACCATCTTCACTCTCTTGAGTCGAGGGCCTACGGACATACAGAGAAGGGTGGTATCACGGCTATTGCGCAGTCTGTTGTTGCGAAGCGAGAGAGGCAGTTGTCACTGGGCACTGGTTCTAGTCCTGCAGGTGGGCGTAAGAGAGCGGATAGCCAGACGCAGCCAGGTCCCAGCCAGGAGAAGAGTATTCGAGGCGAGGCAAGCGATGCACCAAAGAACGGCCTGTATGTTCTGGGAGATTGGACTAACGGCTTTCGTCAGACTTCTTGTGGCACTGGCATTGAAACCAAGATCGCAGAGCTTGGTCTTGGATCCAAGGGCAACGAGAAGAATGAGAATGTTGGCAAGAAGGATAGCGAGGGTGAAGATCGCCACGATAGCAGAGACATTGAGGAAGGTCCTGTCGCTCCTATTGTGGCTAAGCCTCCTACTCGCAAAGAGAGCCAGCATGTTTTCGGTCCTTGAGTGGAGAATGTTGGGGACGGGTAACAGTTTTGAGTTCCTATGACAAATGCTTATGTTACTTGCTCCATTATACTACACGATCGAGCCAATTGTTGAGTGGAAGGTTAGGGACAATGTAAACGAAAGTATCGTACTGAGTGCTGTGCGCTGAAACATGACAACCTTTTGCCCGTCCAAGAATTCTACAACAGTGCTGTTGAGTAGACGGGCCTGCCATGTAACTTCGCCTTGAAATAGGATGAACGTGAGGAAAAGTGTCGTGATTGGGGTGTATATTGGTTTGGACATCATGATCAAAGTATCATCCATTAGTGCAAAATGCAGAATAGAACATCAGCTGTCAAAAAGAAAACACTTTCTTGACAATCAACCAAGCTCGCCCCGTCCAACCTACTTGATATCCGTCTTCTTCAACAAATCCGCCAAGTCATCCACCTTACCATCCTTATCCTGGGGCACATTACTCTCCTCCGCCCGGGTATCGTCCGTAAGCTGCCTCGCCGCCCGTTCCTCGACTTCGACACCGACCTCGTCATTATCGTCATCTCCTCGCTTCTCCTCCTCCTCACTGTCTTCCTCATCTTCATCCCCAGATTCCAACTCGTCGAGCTCATCGAGACCCCAGTACTCGTCGTCATCTTCGTGGTCGCCTGACTCCTCCTTTCGCGCATCAAGCACATCGCGCAGCTTGGAGATGCTGGGGTCCTCCTCGTCGAATTTGTTGCCGTTGAGTTCGACGCGGCGGAGCGCGGGGAGAGAGCTGGAGGATGCGGTGGCGAGGCCGGCGAGGCCTTTTGCGTCAATGTCATTGAATTGGAGGCGGAGAACTTGAATCTTCTTGTTCTTGCCCTTGTCTAGGGCTGCGGCGAGAGCGACGGCGCCACGCCCGCTGAGTAGGCAGTCGCCGACGCCCAGTTCGCGGAGCTCGGTCCAGTTTCCGACGGCACTACTTAGGGCTTTTGCGCCCATGGCTGTGAAGGTGTTGTCCTGCAGGTCCAACGTGTCTAGCTTGGTGAGATGCGCAATCCCGTTTGTGATGAGGTGTGATATGCCCTCTTGACGAATACCGTTCTGTGTCATCTTGATCGTCTTTATACCCGTGTTCGCTGCGTATGCCTTGGCCCAGGCTGCCATGCTGCCGTTCTCGAGGCGATTGCGACCACAAATGACGAGCTCAAGGTCGGGTACATCCTTGCCTGCTTTGCGTGCTGCTTCTTTCTTTGCAGCCAGGGCAGTAAGCGCATCTGCGACGAGGACACCGGCGGCAGGTCCAAGACCGTTGTTGTTGAGATAGAGGTAGCGGAGGGGTGTGTGTTGGGAGAGGAAATCAACGAGCGGGGCTACGGTGTTGAGACCAAAGGCGTTGTCCGAGAGGTCGACGGTGTGAAGGTTTGGCAGGGCGAGGAGTGCGGTCAGCAGGTGCGATAGCGCGGGAGGAATCTCTGAGAGTAGACGGGACGTGAAGATGTCGGCGAGATTGGCAACCTTTGCTGCGGGGTCAGTCTTCATGGTCATCCCAAAGGAAGGTGGGGTGAAGGGGAGACATACCTGTAGATTCGTCTTGCTCTGCAGCACCTTGGCCAACGCCTCGCTGGCGCCAATACCCAGGGTATTTCCCAGGAACCTGATTTCTTCGACTGCATCGTTGCTCTGCAGTGCCTGAATATGTGGCGCAATGTCCTCGGCGGTGGTGAGTTTGAGGCCCTGGCCCTCGATGGAGAAGATCTTGGACCCCGACATGGTGTTCGCAAAACAAGCCTAGGACGACAAGTGGAATAACGATAATAGTGTTCCAGAAACCAAAGATGGTGAAGTGATTGGCAAATCGCAAGCAGAGGAAGCAGAGTGCCCGCGTGGGGTGGAATGTAGCAGAGACAAAAGAGGGCACTGTGTTTGTGTGGTAGTGGGGGTTTATTTTTGCAGGGGTGCTGGCCGTGCAGGGTCCCTAACACAAGGGCTAGGCGGCGAAGGGCGGAGGTGCCTGTGCGCCAAGCCGTTTTACCGGATGATGACATGCCCAGCGCCAGCCGGCTCATCTTTTTGGTGGTGCGCAGACAAGACCGATTGCTAAGCAGCAAGCACTTTCATTTGCAACACATCAACACATCACAATGTCCTCAGGTACGTCTTCATATGCCATCAACGCCACAGTATGACAGAAAGGCTCATGATGGACACAGCACCGCCAACCGCCGCCAACATGGGTGCCGACCTCAAGGACACTGCCGCACCCGCCAAAGTAAAGGCAAGTTGACTCGGACCCATCCGCATAGGCACAATGGCTGACCATCACCTAGCCCTGCTGCGTATGCACCGAGCAGAAAGCGAAGCGCGATGAATGCATGCTTTTCTCTACTTCGAACAACGCTCAACAAGAATGCGCCAGCCTAGTCGACCAATATCGCCAATGCATGGCTGGCTACGGCTTCAAGGTCTGAGCGAGTGCAGGGCGTGGAGTGCAGGACATGTATACGATACCAGGGGGACAGAACATGTATACGATACCAGGGGGACAGAGACAACCATGTACATCACCATGTAAATGACCGTGTACAATACCATGTACGATACCGTGTACAACAAACAGCATCCGATCCAGGAGGCGTGATAGCACTAGATGGATTCTGATACTGTGCACAACAAGGAAAATAAACTCGACTTCTTTCTTTCCAAACGCTCTCTGGGTATCTCGAAGTGATGTTGAGTAGAGTGTACAATTCTGCTGCCTCTCCATCTACAAGGTCTTGCTTTTTACTTTACCAACCAACTCGCTCTGCGCTACGAGTCGCCACAGACACCATAGATAGCAGATGCCAAATCCGCCTGTGCCGACGATTGCATTTGCCACTACCCACAGGTCCGGTTTACCCGCGGGTGGAGGCAAGAAAGCTTCGACAACATGCCATCCGACCATGGCGACGTAGATGCTGAGATGGATAATCTTACTCATAAGGTGTATTCCGCTGCGACTGCCTTCGTAATAGGCCGAAAAAGAGACTGGAGGAAGACCAAGTAGATAGGCCCAAAGTAAAGATATAACAAAGTAGGGTATCCTAAGCTCGTCTCTTTTTAGCAAGGGGAACATGGTCCAAACGCCTAGCATGTTTGCGAGCCCAACCCAGGCGCGAGTCGATGGTAGCAAGCCCTCCTTTCCACTCAAAAGCAGAGTCATGGGCATTAGCGGTAACAAGACATTTTTTTCGTGAACCTGATAGGAACAGAGAAAGAAGCCCCACGATACTGCTGCAAACGCAACGGGAAGCAATTGCTTCTTCGGTTTAAGAAAGAGGATGAGACATGGTGGTAGGATAGCAGCAGACGTAGCGACCAGGGCCAATCGCTGCAGGAGCTGGATAGGATATCTGTGGAGTTTATGGAACGTGTGGATCGTGCACCAGATATTGGCAACTTTGTCCTCGAAAAGGCCCCTCGAGAAGGGGAAGATGCGGTGGATAGACTGGGCCAGTTCTAGAACAAATGGGTAGTACCAGGCATTCATGTTCCAAGGTGTCATGAACCATCTTACGGACATGAACGGCGTTTCGAGATGATTAAACGAGAAGCCCTTGTGCGAATCGTACGCAACACCTAACAGGAACGGGAGGAATAGTACAGCGAATGCTGCAATGGTAGTCAGCGCAATGGCAATCAAGCGCACAATGTTGATCCTCGGAAAGACGCATATGCCCAGAAGATAGGCAAACACGGCAGGCGCATAGAAGAGAGCCATTTGCTTGAAGCCAAGGGCGCCCACAAAGAAGACACATGCCCATAATGGCCTACCAGCTACCATACTGGACAGGGTTGCGACTGCGAACCCCAGCATCACTGTATTATATTGAAAGTGGCCATGGTCGATTAGGATGACACCAGGTTGCATTAGAATCGCGACCAGGGCAATCGAGGACTCCCAAATGTTTACGCCTTGGAGGCGCGCGTAATGGCGGAGGAAGATGACCACAGCGGGTACATAGATGAGGTACTCTGATGCAAATACGGTGGCGCGCATATAAATCTTGAGGGACGGGTCGTCGAGGCCGCGCGATTCGTCCAGTGCAAACCAGGCGGGATCAATGGTAGAGCCACTGTAGGAATTAGTGAAGTGTAAGCAACTAGGAAAGTGTTAACGTACATGATGCCCAAAATCCAACTGTGGTAGGCAGTCAATGGTGGGTAGTCTAAGCCCCACCATTGCAGGTCATAGAAGTACCACTTGGACACAGGCAAGTGTGTCGTCAACTCCATCCAGTGCCGCTGCGCTTCAAAGTCGCCATGCATCGGAGGGCTCTGAAAGCCTGAGTAGCCCCAGAGGCCGACTGCCCAGCGGAAGAGGCCAACGGCCATCAGGATAAGAGGAATCGTGACCCATTGCGAGACGGTGCCCTTGGCGGGCCAGAGGAAGGCAACCAGAGGGAAGGCAGGCGTGCGGGCATTGGTGTTCTGATCGAGGTCAAGAGTACCGTGGGCAACATAGGCGAGAGAGCCCTCTTCAATCTTTCGCCGCCGCCTCGGCTTGTGACTCGCTGGAGAAGCCATGTTGGAGAGAGCTCTGCTGTGGAGGGGGGCACAGGGGACGTCGCAAACAGATACTCGTCCACTGGTACTACTTAGTAGAGTACTCACACAATACGTACTCCACCCTACCCGCGTGGACAGGTCCAAGGTGAGATCTGGACAAACACTAGACGGGCTACGGATTAGGTACGCATCCGAATCAGAGCACGCTTGTTGATGTTGTAGCACGCTTGTCCCCATGTAGGCTTGGCCGCCCGTTAGCCTAGGACTAACGCCACACCGCCAGAGAGCTTGGACATGGATCGGCAGAAAACTCAAAAAAAAGTTGCGCGCCAAGATTTCGCTGCGATTAAAACCCAGCCTCGTTGCCCTGCTCAACGTTTCTTTCTTCACCATCACCCATCCATCCACCTTTTCTCCAATCTTAACGTCGAACATTTCCAGTTCGAACATTCTACACAGAGGGCTTTACGAGGACTTCTAGTGGGCTACTGAGGGGCAAATACCATCAAGTACCAGATATATATCAAGTCAGTGGGCAACGTCGAGCTTTTCCTTTACACACTTTTGCAGAGGGCACGTCTGTCGCTCGTCAGAGCATGACAAGATCAACCAGAGGGCGTTTTGCTACTATGAGGGTTTTTCTTCTGTCTCCTCGGCGCTTGTGGGAACACACTGCCTTGGACTCAGTTTCTGTGGGCTCTTGTGGGCTTCTGTGGGCTTGAGGGACATCCGCCTTGCGCGGTCTCGAGAGATACCAGTGGGCTATTCGCAATTTGAGACAAGCAGAGGACGCCGGTCATTGCGCACATCGCCTCCTTGTTGGAGGCTGCGCATGAGCGGTGAGACGATGCCAATCATCTCCGCCTTATCCTGATGATTACAATGGGACTACAGTCAGTTCCCACATCGTGCTAATACAAACTAGATCTAGTACTCTACCATCATGTCTAAGACCAAGGTCACCGACAAGGCGTCCAAGAAGGGCAGCAAGGCTGAGCTCTCGAGCGTCAAGGCCGGTCGCGTCACCAAGCCTGCGCAGACACCCAAGTCCAAGAGCAAGGACATTGCCAAGTCAGTTGCCTCCGGTGTCAAGGACAAGAAGAAGACGAAGAAAGCTCCTACCCCCGAGCCTGAGTCTGATTCCGACTCTAGCGAGAGCGAAAGCGAAAGCGAGGATGCCGACTCTTCGTCCGACTCTTCTTCAGACTCCAGCGATGAGGAAGTTGTCGAGAAGAAGGCTCCTGCTAAGGCTGCCGCTAAGGCTGCCGTAAAGGTCGCTGCCAAGGCCGACTCTGATTCTGACTCGTCTGACAGCAGCGAGGAGGACAGCGACAGCGACAGCAGCGAGGAGGAGAAGCCTGCCGTCAAGGCGAAAGCCAATGGCGCTGCTAAGGCTGCTAAAGCTGAGTCGAGTGACTCGGACAGCGATTCCGACAGCAGCGCGTCTGAGGCTGAGAAGCCTGCCGCTAAGGCTAAGGTTCGTTATCGGTACCTCTACACATTCTCCATGCTAACAATGTTAGGATTCTGATGACTCTGACTCCGACTCCGATTCCAATGCAGACTCCGACTCTTCTGACAGCGATGAGGAAGAGGCTCCTTCCAAGAAGCGCAAGGCTGAGGAAGCTGCTGAGCCCGCCATCAAGAAGACCAAGACTGTTGAGGAGCCTGCAGGTGCCGAGGGTATCAAGAACCTTTTCGTTGGCAACTTGAGCTGGAACATCGATGAGGACTGGCTCCGTCGCGAGTTTGAGGGCTTCGGTGAAATTGTTGGCTGCCGTATCATCACTGATCGTGAGACTGGCCGTGGCAAGGGGTAAGTCAAATTGCTGATAAACTATCTGGATATTGGCTAACGGTTCTAGTTTCGGATACGTTGAATTCGCTACCTCTGCTGATGCAGCCAAGGCACAGGCTGAGATGCACCAGTACGAGCTTGACGGTCGTCCACTAAATGTCGACTTTAGCACTCCCCGCCAGAAGCCTGACGCAGGCAAGACCAACGACCGCGCCAACAAGTACGGTGACAAGCGCAGCGCACCAAGCAACACCCTCTTCCTCGGTAACTTGTCCTTCGACTGCACAAACGATAGCATCCAGGAGATCTTTGCCGAGTATGGTAACATCACTCGTGTCTCTCTGCCTACCGACCGTGACACTGGCTCCATCAAGGGCTTTGGGTACGTCGACTTCGGCTCTCAGGAGGAAGCTACCGCTGCTCTTGATGCTCTGAACGGTCAGGACATTGCTGGCCGCAACATCCGCATCGACTATGCTGCTCCTCGTGAGGACAATGGCACTGGCGGTGGCCGTGGTGGTTTCGGAGGCGGTCGTGGCGGTGGTCGTGGTGGTGGCCGCGGTGGCTTTGGTGACCGTGGTGGTCGCGGAGGTGGTCGCGGAGGTGGCCGTGGTGGCTTTGGAGGACGTGGTGGCGGTCGTGGTGGCCGCGGTGGAAGCTTCAACCGTGGTGGCTTCGGCGACTTCCAGGGACAGAAGAAGTCGTTTGACTAGATGTTGTTGTGACCATCAGGCCGCATGTCCTTTTAGCCATGGAGGTAAGTCATGGTCTGGATGAAGATTTGATGATCGGTATTCCCATTTCGTCTTGTGTCTTTGGCTCATGATGCTATGACATGAGGATCTATTAGTGTCGTACTATGGGCACGGCGTTTTCAAGGGTAAAAGTTTCAAAGTCTGCCTTGATTGCACGGCGAGACTCTAATTGGGACATGTAGTTTATTCAGTAGGAGTGGTAGTGTACAATGCTTTGGTTCCTGCACAATCCTCTTTGCTGCTGTACATGTGAGTGATGCTCACTCGTGACGTTGGTGACATGTGGTGTGCTAGATTTTCTCTTTTTCTGCGGCGATGGCATGCAGGTCTTGACTGTGGCTAGTACTAGTACTCTGCTAACTTGAATGTCTTTGTGACCAATCAATTTACATGTTGGGGCTAGAAGAAGAAGAAGAAGAAGAATACGTTTATGAGAAAGAGGTACGCGGCAGTCTAGATCTTTGACACTTTTCCTGGCCAGAAGAGGGTCGCAGGATCTTCCGAGGGGCCTTCGAGCCCAGTCCCATCGGTGCACAGTATGTACCGTACTATGGTACCACGTTGAACCCCATGTCAGAGTATACAAACGTAGGTACTCCTAGTACAGCCCTGTGTTGTGTCCGAGAGGAGGCTTGTCATCCAATCGATTAGACGAGATCCATGGGATTTGGCCCCCACGGTTCCGGTGAGCAGATCATGGACATGGGCCCAATGGTAGCGGACCCCAATGGTAGGGGTCAACATGCGCACATGTTCACATACGCGCAAACACGTCTCCATCCCTGCATGTCGAGTTGCTTGGTCGAGATGTCGAGAAGAGAAGTGCTGGGTGCGCAATTGTGCAGTCAAACAGGAAAGAGAGGGGACGAGAGGAGAGGAGGAACGAGGTCTTTTATCCGTGCTGACTCGAGAAGACAGGCGTCCCCCCCCCCGGGTGCACCTCCAAGGGTGGTGTGATGTGACTGGGACGGCGAAAGTGGTTACATGGTCTAGTGGACAGGACAGGGTGTTTGGTGAAGAAGATGCAGGAGTTCACAGCCTCAGGCAAGCCACCACCCATCTCCACCCCCTAGCACACACTACAACCCGCTACAGCCAGTAGCAGCACCATAGGGCTCACCGGTCTGGCGCGCCATCAAGTCTTTTGGGTCGCTGGGCGGGCGGGAACACTGATTGACAATTGACCTCTGACCGCCCTTCGCAGCCGAGTTTTGGTGGCAGGCCGCGTCGTTGTGAGGAGCAAAAGGCGGAGTGGCCCGTGCCGGGTTCGGTATGTAGTCTGGAGGTCGTAGTGTAGTCTCTATCGCCCTGCACCTTGACTACGTAATAGACCCTTTCACCAGACACGAGTTGAGACAATACTATGGCTCCGGTGAATACTTGTTGGTGGTGTGCTATTGTGCTATGGGCCTTTCTGCGCGAACATTAAGCCTCGCAGTGCCGTGCCATGCTATTGTGCCTCTATTGTGCCGGCGGCGCGAATGATGCCATGGCCGTCGTATCGCGGTTGCGCATTATTGTGCTTCGAGGCTTAGCGGCCAGGCAGCAGCGCGTTGCGCAAATCGGAATATACCGAGCCCTCTTCCCACA